AGTGCCACTGGCACCACGTTGCGCGCCATCCAAGCACGAGTACACCCCGGCGTCTGGGACGAGGGCGCTGAGGCGGTCAAGGAGTGGCTGCAGGGCTTTGAGTTCGCCAACCGCGCCAGCGGCCGGCGCCAGCGGGTCGCCTTGGTCAAAGCCACATGCGCTTTCAACCTGCTCGAAGTTGCAGGCCGCGTCGCGCGGGAGCTGGGCGGCGGGGTGACACGTGCTAAGCCATGGCTTCTATGGACCCGTGCTCCAGTTTCTGGAAGGTGGTTTTGACGTTCACTTCGATGAACACGTCGTTCGGTCTTTGCGCCGCTTGCGCCCGCAGCTGCTTCAAGACCAGGCCCGCCCCGATTGCGCGCCCCACGACGCACTGATAGGGCCCGGCCGTGGCCCTCCGGGCGCGCGCTGCCTTGCCCCTGCTCCAAAGGGGCGCGCGCGGCCGGCCCGCGCGCCACAGCCCCGGCCCCGGCTCGGCGGGTTGGCACCACCTCCAAGGGGCAACGGGCTGGGACTGAGCACCTCACGTGCCCGTTCAATTTCGCCTTCTGCCTCCTTGAGCGGGATACAAGGCTGACTATATTTCATACGCGTGGTAGATCTGACGCGCGATATTTTCCTGGGAGGGGGACTGCAGGACGCGAGGCGCAATGCCGCTTTGCCGGCTGCGCGCGAGCCGCGGCGCGGAGGGCGAGGCGGCCCCGGGCTCGGACTTCTGCGCCGCGCGCGGCGCCGCGGCGCAGCACGGGCCCGGCGTCGCGATCGGCAACGTCGACGCGCGCGCGCCCCGAACGACCACGCCAGCTTGTCCCAGGCCACGGAGCAGCTGCACCTGTGGGGCGCCCCTGGCCTTCCTCTCCCCGCTGCCGGCGGCGCCGGGCTCGCTGCCACTGTTGCTTGACTTTCTCGGACTAGGAGCCGCGCGAGCTAGGGGGGAGGCATTGCTGCAGCACGCGCACGCGATCGGAGCCTCGGCGCCAGCGGGTCGCAACCCAGTCAGTTCCGACTGCTTTCCCGCCAGGTCATCCCTCATTGCGCGGCCGCCGCTACGCGCTTTGCTGGCGACTCTGGCGTTCAAGGCGGAGCCGGACGACAAGTGGACGCGTCTCGGCTTCCAGCCGATGGAGGGCCCAGCACCAGACTTGGCCTGCATCGAGCGCCGATGGTCGCGGGACTGGCTGTTCTCGCCTTGCTCACGTTCCAGGGACTGGCCAGAACCAGACAGAGACCTTGCCGACGACGCGCAGGCTCGCCTTAAGCAGGCCCACGAGCACTGCGCGACGGATTTCCCACGGGTACTCGCCGCTCGTCGCCACGCCCGCGGCGACGCTCTTCCTCGTCGGCAGGAGTTGGGACTTCTGCTGTGGAGGCCCTGCTGAACTCCCCGGCCTCCGACGGAGAGCTCGCGGCCATTCAGCTATCCAATGCGTTGCCGCTCCAAGCGGCCATGGAGGAGCGCCCTCGACCGCTCGCCTCAGAGGCTGTCCGTCTATTCGTTCAAACGGCCATGGAGGACAAGGATTTCTTCCAGCTGCTCGACACAGGCGGCGCAGCGATGTGGGCCCCGCCCGACCAACGCGCCCTTGGTCGCCTGCTGTCTGGGCGCATCCGCCGTGCGGCTGCTGCCCCAGAGGCCCGCCCACTCCGACTCACTGCTGTCTTTGACGCGCACCCTGGATGCTCCACGGCCAGCATGCTCAAGGACTTATTTCGGCATCCGCTGATGGGCGCCCACTGGGCCCACGTCGTACGCGAACGAGCTTTCACCCACATGGTCTCGTCTGGGAGCGGGGGCCCGATGAACTCCAACAAGGGCCTCTTCATTGCCACGATCTCCCCAACCTCCCGCCAGCCACCTCGAAAATTCTCCCTGCGGCTGAGCCCTTACTCTCATCGAGCGTCGGCCATTCCCTCTTCGTCGACTGCCCGGCGGCGGAGGTCCCGCGGGCGATGGCTGCTGCACTCAATGAAGACAGGCGGCCCCAGGCCCGCTCGGGCCCTCTGGCACGGAGCCCGACGTCAGCGCTTGACTTGCCACAAGCTCGATTCGAGGTATTCCTGCCGATCGGCCGCGCCACCGAGCTAGACGTTACCCTTTTCATCCAGCACCTCCACTTCTTAATCTGCCGGTAAGCGCGGTCGCGGGGCCCCGCCAGCTGCATGCCGACAACGGCGCCCTGCTGGTGGAGCCGACGTCCTCCGCGGCCTTGCACTCAGTTTGGCACCTGCGCGAGGACGCGACCTTCATCAAGGCAAATCTTGCGACAGTTCGCACGGCAGCTTCGCCCGAGAGTTGGCGGAGCGCCATGTACCAAGCGATCGAGGATGACACGTCGAACTGGATCTTGAGGGCGCGGCGGCGTCCGTCGAATCAGGGGGGGTGCCCATGGGCGACTCCGGCAGCGACCGCCCAGCAGCTCGGGGCGCCACGGCGCACGCGCGCGCCTGGATCCAGACAGCGGAGCGCGACCGCGGCGGAGACGATCTTGACTGTGGACGG